TTGCAGTTATGCCTGGTGAGGCTAATCAGGGAAATTGGGTGGCAGGTGTGATACTGATTAATGAACCACCATGACTTATTAAGAATCCTTGCAACCTGGGTCAGTATCTCACAGAAATCTTGTGGGGTGTACTTGCAAAGGCTTATTTAACAGAGACATTTATTAAAATATTCTGTTGCTGAAATAGGTAGAAATTTGTGGGGTTGTAGCACACATGCTGGACATGCAAAATGTTCCAACATCTCTACTTAGGAAAGGTAAAACCCATGCCTGAAATCCTCGAGAACACTGTCAGCCAATCTTGTATACTACTGGTCTTACTGGTCAAAAGGACTGACACAATATAAGAGTTTCCTGTGTTATGATAGTCCTGCAGAGCTGTGCTTCATCTAAGCATCTTCTCATGGTGTAAGCATCTTCTGATAAAGGCATGGAAACATGCCATAACAGCCGCTGCAGCAGCAGGTTTCTTGTGTTGAGAAGTAGTGCATTTATTCCTCTGCCTCTGTTCCCTTTTAACTACTTCTGCATCAAGATTTCTAATATGAGGGGTTGCGGTTAGGGTTTCCTTTTATTAGATTTTATTCAAACAAAGCCAGTTAAATTTAGTGCCCATTGAAATCAATGCCACTCAAAGCATAGCAAGCTTGTGTCATTGATTTCAGTGGGACCTAAATTTAATCTGGATCCAAGCCAATATGTGAAAGCAATATGCTTGATTTAAAACCGTTAAACCAAGAATATTTTGTATTTCAGAAAAATAGTTGATCATGTTCATTGGATGACATCACCAGAACAAGTAGCAGATGCAGTTAAACGGTTTAGGTATGTGCTTTTTACACATATTTAAGTTCAAAGTGATTTGTAAAAAACTGATTTGTAAAAACATTCAGGTATTTGAACAACATGCACATACCTTTGCTCCGATCAACACTTGACTGTTCTGCTTAATAATGTATATCCGATTATCAGCATCCTTTGCTGAGCTGGACCTTAGCTATCTTTGCATATGCCATCCATTTCATAGCGGTACTGCAGCATTGTGCTAGCCCTGCAACCTCAGTCTATTTTGGTCAGACAGCTGCTTGCTTAAGCTGCCTACCCTGGAGCCAACCATTCTTGCACAGCCAGTGCTTCAGAATGCATGCAAACTGGCTGAGCCAAGGTATTAGCATAGTGCTTAATTTTTGCATGTGCAACACTGATGCACAGTACATTTTCCAATTATAACTACAGCATGATTTTCATTCTTACCAGTATACTTGTCTGCTTACAGAGATGCCTTCTGGCCAAATGGCATTTTAGCTGAGGCTGTTCCCCGCAGAGACAATGCCATCAGGATGCGAACAAGAATTGCTAGCAAAACAAAATTACTGGGTATGATGCCAGGTATGCAAAATGTGTTAAATAAATTGCTTCTTGAGTTTAAGTGGGGGCAAAACCGCAATTGTGACAATTTTAAATAAGCACAGCCTTAATGGCATATTAGCAGGCTGACTGAGAATTCCTACTTTCTAAAGAAATGTTTATTGTAGAGAATTTCTGAGCCATGAGAGTTACTGACAAGGCTGGTATGATGTAACAGCCCATAATGAGTGTATTCCTCTGCTAGCCCAGATAGTTTCCTGCAGGGTGGCTTATTTATGAGTAGCAAGCCTCATTAATCACACATTACATGTTTTGGAGCTTGTTGAACCCACAATGGGTTGTCATGCCATCCAAACCCAGGTATTTGTTGTGTGAAGCAGGTTGGCATGAGCAGCAAAATCCTTTGCCACTCTTACTGAGATTGTCTGGTCTGCTGCGGTAACAGCCACCAAACTGATGCCCACTTGGCATGGTGGACTAACCATCACTTGTTCAGTGGCCCCCTCCACATTTGCAAGCCCTTTCCCTCGATAGCTTCCTTTGCCCCATTTTTTGTTTTAGAGATTTCCTTTCCTTATCTCCACTTTAATAGCCAGTAGCAGCCCCTCTTCAAAGTGCCCAAGTGGCACATTCGAGATGGTATGACTAGTCTGACAGCTGTCAAATTTAAGGCTGTGTAACACTGGAAAGTCCATTTCATTTCAGCTCGATGTACTTTTAACACATTGACAACACCATGGCCAAAGCTGGGTCAAGTTGATGAAGGCTTTAGCTTCCATTAAAATTGCTTGATAGATTTGTGCAAATTTGGAACTACATATCTCTAGTACAATTTGTGCAAATTGGGGCCAACTCACTGGATTTCAGTCATTTTTGTTGAAGCTTAACATGAAAAGCATTTTCCCCTTACCACATATTCATGTACTCCACTGCTGCTATCATGAATTTTCTGAAGGTTATTGTCAAAATTGTGCAAAATCCAAGCCTCCACTTTGTACTTGGCACACATTTATGCAGTTTCTGAAAACCCTAATAGGGTTAGGGGAGTGCACCAGCGTAGGGTTAGGGCAGTGGTGGTGAACCTATGGCACACGTGCCGCAGCAGGCACGCAGAGCCCTCTCTGTTGGCACGCAAGCCAAGTTGCCCCAGCATCGCCCCAGCAGTCAAGCATCCAATAACAGTGTACATAGGGGCCATGTGCATGCTTGGAAAGGAGTGGTGGTGCCAGTCTGTGATGTCACAAGCCGCGACTCATCCGAGCTTTTGCATGGCCAGTCAATGCACTGCCAAGAATATATATATTTGCTTGGACTGGTTGTGAGTTGGGGTTTTTTTTCTAAAACTGTAACCTCAGTTTTCAGGTTTTACTGTAGTGTTGGCACTTTGTGATAAATAAGTGGGTTTTGGGTTGCAGTTTGGGTACTCAGTCTCTAAAAGGTTCGCCATCACTGGCCTATAACCTCTGCCATGAAATCTGTCCATTTTCGACCCCCAACAGGTAGATTTTAAGAAGGTATAAAATTGTGAGAAGGGTTTGTACTTCATCTATTTTAAAGTGGGTAGCAAACCAGTGACAGCCCATCCAATGTGCTGGTTTTGCGCTTTGGAGAGCTATTATTTACTGTCAACTTGGAGTAAAATACAAGGGAAAAAAAAAACAGAAAAAGCTGTGATGGAAAAAGAGCTCACAGACACTGCAAGGAGAGGGTACAAGAATGGCAGGCAACCTATGGTGGACCCAATCTTGGTTATTCAGTGTGGTTATTCAGTGAACAACCAACTCACTCTTGGTTATTCAGAAGGTAGGAGAGTATGACTCTCACTGTTTTGGGTGTGTCCTCTAAGGAACAGTATATAAAAATATTAAATAAAATAATGCCATCCATTTTTTCAACATCCTATTTTAAACTTCTGTAATTTTGATCAGTAATTTTACAGTAAGTATAGGTGTATGTAAAGATAAAGCTGTTACTGTACTGAACTACCATATTTTGTGATTTATCTAGATGAATTGAAGCATATTTTAGGTGCTGAGACAACAAGGAAAGGCATTCTACGAGTCTTTGAAATGTTTCAGCATACTCAGCTAAATAAGAGGATGGTGTTTGTCTTTCTGGAAGGCTTCTTGGAAACCTTATTTCCAGCAAAGGAATTCCCTGATCTCTTCAAAAAACTGCATTCACGCTCAAAGCAGATGGAGCGATATAAGCAAAGACTACAATCTACGCAAGCACCTTTTTTACAGAAAAGGTGACACTCCAAACTATTAATTTGGTATCCATTTGCCCAGGACTTGGGCATATTCTCTGGGGCTTAAAACTCTCATGCTGTTATTTCTGCACCAGTCTTTTAGTGTCACATATTAGATTATAAATGCATCTGTAAGAGATGTGATTCTTCTCATCCTTCGTCTCTAATGCAACCACTACCGTGAACTGGGTTCATGTGTCTTAAATGATTTGGTGCATCTTCATGCAACATTGAGAAGAATACTTGCCCATTCTGTAAGAATGTCTGTTCCTTCCACTCCTGACAGAATCAATGATTGCCAGCAATGAAAAGTGCTAGACCATGTCCACTGAGGGATAAGTAGAACACATCTGTGGTGATAGCAGTGGAAGACTTGGCTGCTTTGCTTGGATCTGGGAGATTGTGCAATGTGAAAATCAGGTGCGATTCGATTTGCATTCGTGACTGTTGAGGCCTTGTAGGTCATGGTCAGCAACTCTGAGAAGACTGAGATAATATGAAGAGCAGTCTTCTGGAACAGGTGATTCTGAGAAATGTTATAATTTCCCCAAAACTACATTTGCTAACTAAAGGTTGAGGTAATAGGTGACAAAGCCACATTAACTTCACTTTTCTGAATTAAAAAAACAACACTACTAAAAGAGTGATCCTATGGCTGCAAGAAAGTGTCCAGGAGGCCATAAGCTAATTTGAATTCTCAGAGCTGAGATCAGAGGCAGAGCAACCATCTTGGAGCTGTGGGGTCTGTATGTTGATTCCCCTTCCTCTCCTTTGCAGCCAAAATGGAAAAAATGCCCACTGCCTCTGAATTTGAGCAATTGACATTAAAGATCGGCTAAAATCTGTGTTTGAAGGGGCCAGAAGGGGAGCTATCCTGACAGTGCCCCAGCCTCCTTTGCCCTCCATCTGAAGTGCCTCAGCTAGTCAGCCATAAAAAGCCGTGGAGCTGAAGTGCAAAGTGTGAGATACAGGAAGGCAGGGATCCTAAACTTTCAAATTTGGGTGCTATGTGAAGCATCCAAGGCACAATTTATCTTGGCTGGGTTTATTTTGGTGGGTTAGGGCAAAAGTACAGAAAAACACACATTGGTTTGCATTAGCTTTTTTAAGGGTCTTGTTTTGCTCTTAAATTATAATCCTTGTAGTTTGCTTATGACTTTAATGGAGAAGACTCAACATAGCACTTGGCATAGGGAAATGAAGATGCTTAAGACAAGGAATTACCACATTTATCAGGAGTCTGGGGAAGGGAAGCAAAATGCATTGCTCTTGAGATTAAGACTTTATTTAAAAAGATTGTACTCCATTAAAATTCACACTAAGATTTATTTACATATGGTCACTTCAGCTGGTAAATTGCTAAAATAACTTTCATACTGACATAAAAATCTTAATGACTTCATCGAACAGTCATACGCAAACAATTGCAAATTCCTGGATGCACCATAGTGTATATATGAAAATAAGAGACACAACTACAGTATTTTTTTAAGTAACAATCTTTTTTATTTTTTGCATAATGTAAAATTTTAATAAAGAAACCTCTTCTACACAAAATTCCCCCTGTCTATCCTCTTTACTTCCAAATAAAATGTCTAACTGAGAATGAAGTAATAATTAACTATACTTGCTTAGCCTTAAATTATCTTGGACACAAAGCCTCCTTTTCTCCTTGATGAACACTTTCCACTACCAGGGAGATACAATATATTGGTTATAAATCTCTGAATGTTCTGCTACATAGTCCGTTAAAAAAATATAAAACATCCAAGATATACAAAAAACATCCAACATAGAATATACATGAAATGCTTTGATATTAAATCCGTATTTTTGAAGGAAGTCTGATTTTAATCTGTGGACAATATATTAGATCTTTGGGTATAAATGCAGTATGTACTTGCTACTAAATTCCTCCATTTGGCAATTTACAATCAGGTAAAGATAATTGACACCTTGGAGGAGAAAAGGGGAAAGTCCAGAGGGGAGTAGCCATCTGTATAAGGCCTGCGCTCTAGTTCCCCTACCCCTCTTACTTAGATTCCATAAAATCTGATCAATATTGGCCATGCTATAATAAATTTTAATGCCTACATTACAATAAATGTGTTCAGGTGCAATTGTTTTGTTCTGTCTTTACAATATAAATCAATCCTTTTTACCAGTATCAGGACAGCTTAAGATAAGATGCATGAGGCATCAATTCCTTGTTCCATTCTCCATGTTTTTAAGTAGAAGTGACAATTGACATGAAACACTCTCACACACATTTTTAAACATTTCTGTTCCTCTGAACTTCAGTCTACAGCCTAATTCTCACTCAGGTGATTAACCTGTGTGAGAAATACTGCTTTGGATTGCAGATGGGGACTTGCTTGAATGATCACCATCCATATATTTACAAAAAGAAAAAAAAATCCCTGCACGTAGCATGTCAGGAAAAATGTTCTTGCTAAGGTTTCCTGCAATATGCTGGTTTTATAGGCAAGGATTTTGTTTTTGTATGGAGAGGTATTCCATCATATGAGCCCCCTCCTGCTTTTTGAAGTCATAGGATCCATACAGATTTACCATTCAATAAAACCTAGATAAATACCACCTCTTCATGTTTGTATGATTCAGCAAGGCAGTAGAGTACCATGAACTGCATGGAACATTGGATACAGGAAACCTGCCAGGATTTAAAACAAGTCATAATAGAGTGCTAATATATATATATGGCTTGAGTTCGAATTAATACATCTAGATTATTCAGTTTAATTTATCGTATGTCAAAGTAGGAATGATGAGCAGTTAATAAACCATGTAGTATATCTTTCATCATTTCCATTGGGCTTTAAGATTATGCTCAGTTGTTTAATTGACTACATATCCATAAAATCTTCATGTAAATGAAACATAACAACATGTAATTTCTTCTAACATAATTGCGCATAAGGCTTTGTCATCTGTATTTAATTTTAGAGATTGCCTGCAGACAGAAGCCACACTTTGGTGTGTCTTCTTGATCTGTTATATATAATACACATGTTGTTCATCAACATTATACCAACCATGACCCCTGTCATTTGCACCCTTCCAAGCACCCTCAAAATTGATTGTGTAAATGCAGCACGCAGTTAGCCAGACATGCCCAAGAAAGCTGTGACCAACCTCTGAAAATAAATGTGCCATTGTCCAACAAAAATGCACTTAGCCTTAATTAAGAGAGAATGAACAGTAAGGTGGAATACGTCGTATGGTTCATCCTCAAGCTTCTGCCTCTGGTGTTTGCTATAAATTAATTTTAAATGCTACCAGAATGTGTAGTGATTTTTAAAAGTAAAGTACAAATTCCACAATCTCAATTTTAATTTTAGTGCAATATTTTCATGTAATGCATGTGTATTTGAATAACTGTACAAAAAAGAGGAAGTTTTTAAGGTTTTGAGATCAAGGGTAAACTGTCTTAACCAACAATGTATATTCTGTTATTGCTGCTGTGTTGGCTTATTTAAGGACTTGTTTTAAAAGTCTGGTTTCTCACTCCTTGAAAATCCCTATTCCTGTGCTCAAATGAGCATGGTTCTTACATTACAAGGAGCAAAATCTAAAGAGCACATCTTAATATAGCTGTTAAATGACTTGTGCATATCATTGTACAGTATGTGTCAACTGTGTGCCTAATGGTTCTATCAATATTTCCCCATTTTCTTTAACAAAGAATGAAAACAAATTTGGAATGCCATGGTCTCTCTCTCTGAAAAGCGACAGACTCTTTTTATTTGGAGTTTGTATTATGTTTGTCCAACAAACGCTTGGAAAAGTACACTAATAAAGTATTAACAAGAAAACTTTGAGTTTGTCTTATTTACTAACTCTACATAGTCATTGGTTACTATATATTAAGCCATAGCAGAAGAGCTGCTGCAATGGGAGTTGTGTGGAAATACCATGTTAAAGGGCCTTGTTCTTGCTCAGATAACCAACCAAACTGTGATTTGAAGTCTCAGATTAAAAATTACTCTTTGGGGAAATGTAAACATAATAGGCACCAATTTATCAGTTTATCACAAGTATACTTAATGAATCTCAACCATTTGTGCACCTGCGAACCAACCAGATTAGCTATAAATAATAGCAAGCCTTCCATAAAGTATTGTAAATCTTCAGTGCAGAAATATTCCTTGGGTTTCTCCTTAGGTTTTATTTTCAGAACAGCTGGCTCTGCATGCCAGAACTATTGTTCTTCTTGAAATATATAAAAATCCCAGCTGTTTCACATTTATCTTCGATAACATGATATCATAGCACTGCCAAGATGCACTTGTTTGTCCCCGTAGTAAATGGTTTAGGAGCACCTTTCTATTCTACCCAGCTAGTCAAGAAAAGAATTCATAGGGACAAATTCTGTTTTTAAATTACATACCAAGTCAAAGAAACAGATAATAAAAACATAGGTAAGAGATAAGTGATATATGTCAGGTCTTTCTGCCAGAGCCACCCGTGAAGGAGGTAAAGAGGATGGCTAATAGAAGAGGGGCCTTCTCAGTGACTGCGCCCCATTTACGGAATGGCCTTCTGAAAGGAGTTCTCTTGGCACCATCTTCACAATTTTTTCAGCATCAGGCAACAACAGTTGTCTTCTCCAGACATTTTGACAATTGTTTTTATACAATGATGATATTCATACTGCTTTTACTTTTAATATAGTTTAACTTACTGATACTTGACCCCTCAACTGTATAGTCTTCTATTTTATCATATGCTGCTTTTATGTGTTTTAAAATGTGATGTTATTTTATGTAAAGTTGTAATCTGCTTGGAGAGTCTTCGGACTAGTTATAGTGGAATATAAATGGAATAAATCAAGCAATAAAAAAGGTGTAATTAGAATGTTATGAATGCAAGCTAATGGAGATGAGTGATCAGGAGTTCTCTGTTACTGTACACAAAGTGATATATTTGGTATATTTTCCACTTGAAAGTAACACTGTGAATTCACCTCTTTCATGTGCAAAATAAGAGATCCCACTTTCTCTCTGTGTCCTTCAATTCACACTATTCCAGCATCTTTACACTTTTATACAAATCATTTTAAAGAGCTCATGATTCTCCAAAGATAATTCAAGAGCAAGTGAAAGACGCAACAGTAGAAAGTTATTTCTAGATTCATTTTACACATATAATCCATTTTTTAAAATAACACTGCAGTAAGTTGTGACTTAGCTAGGGATCCATCAGTGTGAGTTTCGTGTTGCTATTTAATTCTGAAAAGCATATCATTGTTACAAAGCTGGTTCAACAGTAGTTTGGGATTTTACTGTTTTTGGCTTTTTGGAAAAACATCTACCTGCAGGTGTTTTTCCTTTTTCTTTAAGGGTACTCATGGAGGTTACAGAAGCATGAAATCTGTCCTAATTCAGCTTAGCTGCTAATCACACAGTGAGAAAAGAAAGTGTGACTGAATATGGAGTAAGTGTCAGTTGGCACCTGTTTTCACCATCTCAATTTGTTTTTCTTCTCACAGCATTTTACACCTCTTAATTTAATTTGGGACTGGCCCTTTCTCCTTCCAGCTGTCCAGGGTTATCCAGAACACATTCCAGCTGGTTATCAAGGGCTTAACAGGCCTCAGCCACTGAGCCAAGCAAATTAACAGCATTGTACAGAACCTGCAGGCCCACTGCCTTCTCTGTATCTTATCTCAGTACGTGAGTGTAACTCAATCTCCAGCTCTGAAATAAAGTAGACCTATATTAAATGTACCTCTGAAGAGTTTCCCATCCTAACCACATGGATCATTTAAAGAAAAAGACTTTAGAGTGCAAAGTGGTTTTGCAGATCAGTACAATGCTAATGACTTACTGATCTTATGCATGCTTACTCCGAAAACCCTCTGTGTACAGTTGAACCTATTTCCTGTTAGCAAATAAAACTGTACTCTGTTTTTGATAGTTCCTGGTGGCGTATATATGGTGATCCATAAAAGAACTAGCATATATAGTATAGAATAATTTATATCTGAAGCACTAAACAACTGAGGATCAGCATGAAAATCTAACTCGCCGAATTTTCTATTATTTTCTTTTAGGGATGGTGTTTATATATTATTATAAAACTACTATAAAACATACGGTCTGAGTCAGACCATTGCCTGGCTGGGTATTGTCTAATATTTGAGTAATTCTTGAACAACAGTGGCAAAATTATGCTTATATCTTTGGAGCTAACAAAGTACCATCTAATCAGTTTTGTTATGACCTGATGATTTGAAAGGTGAATTTCTGGCTTAGTTTTAATTCCTGGTTTAGCTTTCAGTTTCTGTTCTCTGGAACTCTGTTGCTTCCCCTCATATGATTACAGATGTGGTGGGAGACAGAAGGACAACCCATGCTGGCTGCCTGTCTCCTGCATTGCATCCTTCTTGCTCTCCAGGCATTGCAGGAGAGAATATGGACTACTTGTATAGGGCACCTGCACAATTTACAGAGCACTTGAGCACAACTACTCCACTGCAGACTGATAGGCTCCAACACACTGAGACCAGTGGGACAGGACAACAGCAATGCAGCAGGAGGGGTGAAGCATGACCTCCTGCTATCCAGACTCAATTCTAATCATGCCGGAGCTTTAACACTTCCGCTGAAACGATTCTTGTGGTGTCGATTTCATTTTCCTTCCTACTATTCATGAACAGGGTTGTGATATTGCTGCGGCGCTCCTGCTTGATCTAGTTCACAAGTGAGGAGTTAAGAGTTCAAAAACAGATCTAGGAAATAAGCAAAAATTCTTGTCTTTGGATTGGGACAAGTCTGGAAAGTTTCTGACCCATCCTGTTGTATAAATTGGGGGCTCCCATATTTCTCATATTGCTTAGAAGCACTAACTACGCATTGCTCTAACTCTGGATCCCACACTGGCATGGGCAGGCTTTGGTACCTACTCGTAACTTCACTTTCCAGCTTGTTTTGACTTGTTGACATATGTAGAGTTTTTGTAAAATTATTACCATTGCAAGGTTTTCATAGCATCCTGTATTTCTCTTTGTACTACTTTGGACTGTACTTTCCTTGTTAGGACAACTGCACCACCATTTAGAGCATTGGCACAAAATCTCTGACCTGTGGACTTTCCCCATTCAGACTATGCTCTCCCTCCGCATCCCCATGCCTTGTGATTAGCTTCGAACAAAGAAGTTTTCCCTTGCAGCAATGTGTACGAGAAACAAAATTCATCCACTCTCTGCACAGTAGGCACTCCTTTCTATTATGCAGTCCTTAGGCCAAACATAAGTTTCCCCAGTCCTGTTTTAAGACTTTTCAGCCTCCGAATCAGTTTGCAGAGGCCCAAGAGACAACCATCGTCCAAACTGGTATCCATCACTACATACTGAAGTAATGAATTCTGTACTTTAGCCAGGTGTTGTGTAATGCTCCCTTTTTAATCTGTTCTGAAGTTCCCACAATTCATGGAAGAAGCCAGGGTTCTAGAAGTATATCCGCTTTCTAACCATTCATAATTTTGATAATCTCTATCATGTCTTCCCTTAAGTATGATTTTCTAACCCAGAGTTCTGGATGATGCAGCCTTTCCTCACAGGAAAATGTTTAGTCATTTTGGTAGCCCTTTTTTGCACTTCTGCATTTATTAATGATTCCTCGAATTCCTGTCCCATCCTGTCCTGTGGAGAAATCTAATTAAAATGTCTTACTAGAAGATATGAAAACATTGGGAGATCAGTTGTCAGCTGCATAATGTCCTGTCCAAGAAGATCAATTTGACTTCCTTTCTATTGACGTTCTGAACAAAACTGCAGTTTTTTTGCTCCATTCAGCATCTGCCCTTTGTTGATGCTTTGTGTGACCCCCATGGCCTTCTTGGTTATATTATCTGCTGTCTCCCATGACTCTCAATTATGTACACCCTACTGACATACACATTATTTGATCTTGTAAGTTACCCTGAGGAACTTGTACTGAGGCAGAAAAGCAAATCAAACTGCTTTTAATAAACCACATCTGGGTGTACTGGATACAAGAGAACAAACAATAGAGGAGAACAAACAATGTGACTTCATCAATGTGGATTCTTCACCATGTGCTATGATCTGCCTGGTCAGTGATTTTAATGTTCTCAGTCAGTACTGCCATGTTTCCAGCATTTCCTTGTCAATCCAATATGATGCACTTTCAAAATATCCTCTGACAATTTTCTGTTCTACCTAGACCCTGGAATATATTCTGCATGGATCATGACTAAGTGAGGACTTAAGTCATGAAACTAGACCCAGTTCTGTGCAATATGGATGGGTTCCTGGGCTCGCTTCAAGAAATTAAAGAATGAATACACACAAAGCAAGATGATAACTGTCACTTAGTCACTCTTAACC